TTGTTGGGAAAGGTTCCACTCTCTCTCTCCCCCTTGATTGCAGTTTGATTGTCTTTGTTGAAAATACAGCTCTTATTTGCCAATTATTTCAACTTAGAATGTCACTGGAATTGCAGCTGCCTCCCGATTATAAAATGGTTAAAGTCCTCTAAATGGCCTCGTTTGTTCTAATCATAGCCTGCAGAGGCCCACGTGGCTTCTTAACTCCCTGCTCCGTGCTTTGGCCTCTGCCTGCCTCAAAAACCGGAGCCTCCAGTCAAGGGGCTATAAAGTTGCTTCCGGGTGTAAAAAACGCAAGGATTTTAAAAGAGGTTTTCCTAACAAAGGAGCATGAAGTCAGAACCGGAGTCACGCAATTAAACTGATCCGGCTGCACCTTTGAAAACTGTCTTCTCCCCAGAGCTGCAATCTGTCCATTATTTGCACCGATCGGAGCTTGCGCCCATGGGAGCTTCCTGCATTGGCGACAGAGGCAGTCCCAGCGCGAAAACCACAGAGATTGTCCATTCCTCACATCTCTAGACACGATGCTGGTTGAACTTTCTAACATTATGATGGTGGTGGCCATAACATCAGCCATGGGACAATGTGTGAATTAGTTTCTGGGGTCACGTTTCAAAGCCTCGTCCGTATAAACGTCCTTCAAACCCTATGTTTTACCATGAACCCCTCTTTAATCCAGTGCTTCTCAACTCAGCTACTTTAAGATGAGTGGACTTCAACTCCCAGAATTCCCCAGCCAGCCATGCCTTGAGCCTTCTTCCTTCTTTGAGTTCAAAGTAGGACAGTTGTAGCTTCCTTGTGGTTATCTGTGCAGCTAATCAGGTTAAGGTGTTCCTAGTTAAGGTTTAATAAGAAATAGGGATTTACTTCTACTACTTACTAGATTTGCAGCACTTTTTGCCTCTATGCGTAGCTTAAGGTAAAGATTCCCCTCCCACATATGTACCAATCNGGGCTGGGAAAACATTACACGGAAGAAGGTTGCTCTTAATTCCTTTCTTTGGCAGTTGGTGGGAACATAAGGGGGTGGGGGGAGTCTGGTGGAGTTACCAAGGAAGCGATCCCTTGTGCCATCCTGGCTGGCTTCCCCCCTCCCTCCTTTTCAGGTGAGGTAGTCCTCCTTCAGTCCTCTTTTGGCCTCCCGAGTTACCTGCATCTCTGGATTCTAATTCTTCCTAGTTTCCATCAGCATCTCGGCTTTGGAGATCGCGCCTCGATTTGGAGGCTGCTCTCGATGTTTAGACAGAGAAGGTAGTCTTAAGCTGCTCTGAATATTCATGAAATTGACCACTACTTTGGACTGCTCCCCGGGAACCCAGAGCGCCTTTGACGGGTTCCCAAGCACCACGCGGAAGGCAGATTTCTGAAAGATCCCGAGATCTGTTCCCCCCGCCTTCGTAGAAGATGCCAAAGGGCAGCGTGCGCCTCCTTCGGCGTTCGTGCCAAGGGCCTCCTTACCCGCCTCCTCTTTCTGAGAAGCGTGGCTGGTTCTTGACACATCAAGGGAAGATAGTTTTGCCATTATTTAAGCATCTGCTATGCAGCTTTGGAAAATAGAGCTTCGGGCACTTGGAAAGTGAAATGGGTGGACGACGAGGCAGCCAGCCAGCCAGCCAGCCTGCTCGGACAGGAGGAGAACCTTAGGTTGCCCCCATACAGTAGTGGGGCAGTAGATGGGGGCCTGAAGCCATCTTTTACTTGGTTAGCTTTATGAATTATTGGGGGGGGGATTCATTTGTGGGATTTGAATGACTTGGTGATGCTATAGGATAGCATTTCCGCAGTTTTTCAGCCAGGCAAAACAACAGAAAAGTAAGATTGGACCAGGGAATAGGATATTGGACTAGATCAGATCTGATAAACCAGGGATGTCCAATCTTGGCAACTTTAGGACTTGTGGGAGTCCTAAAGGACCCGTCTAGGAACAAACGAAGCCAACTTCTTAACTGCACTGAGAGCGAAAAGCAAGCTTTGGGTTTAGGCCTGTGGCACAGAGTGCTTCTGAAAAGGACTTGGGTACCTTTTATTATTCCACCTGAAAACTGGGATGTACAAAAATAACCCAAGTGTTTCATGTTTCAAACAAAGGTGGGTGGGGAGGACAGGGCATGGGCGGGCAGAGAAGAGCAGTGAAATATAGGATCGCTAAACTGAACATTGGTTATATACATACATACATACATACATACACACACACAATATATATATGTGTGTGTGTGTGTTTTATTTGTGCTGATAAATAAAGAGAGACTAGTATAGATCTATTTCAAGCTATTTAGCTCTCATCAGCTAGTATATATATATACTGTATGTATGTATTATATATATATAATTGGATCAGCAAGATGAAGAGACAAGCAGCCACTAAAAAAAGTTTCAAGAGCTAGAAATGTGTGTTCAAGCTTTTTGTGCAGCTTTGGAGTTGAATATTTGTGATGAATTGTTTTTTTGAGGGTTCCCAGAATGTTTGTGTGTGAGAAACTGATTTATCTTTAAAAGAAAACTCCTCTCCCTGCCCAAGTAGTTATTTGGATCCTTGTTTCTTTGCTGGGTTTCCCCCCTCCACTGATTCTTTTTTTAAAAAAATATTTTTTAAAAATTTTTTAATTTAAAACAAATACAGCCTCCTCTGATTCTTGTAAAAGGTAGTCCTGGTTCTTACAGAATTTAACGTGGATTAAAAGTCCAACTAGTCCTCTTTTTTTTAAAATATAATGCCATCTATTGCTCATAGCTATGGGAATAATTCAGATTAATTAACTTTATGAGGAATTCTTGGAAGCAATAGCGATTCAGCATTGTCCCCAGAAAAGCCTAATCAATATATTTACTCTCCTTATTAACTAGTTATTAATAAGGGTTGGTGTGTTAGCTTTAATGAGCGTATGTAAAACAGCCTTGGTAAATATGTCTAAACGGAATATCTTTTCATTAAAACTTTGGGGGTTTTTTTGGCGGGGGGGGGCGCATAGTTGATGTAATTAGATGGCCTCGGCTCCTTGTGGATTTTGGGTCTTTGAGTTCCACAGCTCTTCAAGAAGGAGTTGCTGCTGTTAGAAAGCAACATGGAAGAAGGTTAAAATAAACCTAGATAAGTAAGCTAGATAATTTCCCCCAGAAATGCAAGCTTTTTGTGTACTGGATAAAGAAGCCCCCCACATTTTCAAACCCTACTTGTGGTCTGGAAACTACTGTTTACTGCAGACATGTCCAACCTTGGCAACATTAAAACTTGTGGACTTCAACTCCCAGAAGTCCTAAAGTTGCCAAGATTGGACATCCCTGGTTTATCAGATCTGATCTAGTCCAATATCCTATTCCCTGGACCAGTGATATATATATATCTTTATGACCTAATGAAACTGGACTTCAGTAACATCTTCCAGTGATTCTGGAGGGAATTCTTACTTGTTGCTGAGCTATATATTTTTTTGCAATGCACTCAAGAGAGATGCTTTGGTCCATATTTTGTATTTAGCCATAATTGTGTGATGGAGATGAGATCGAACCTTTGGGAGAGCCGAAATTCCACCTGTAGATGAGAACCTGGATGATTTCTGTCCAACTCGGACCACAAGAAACGCAACCTGACTTTACACAAATAAAATGTCATTTAACCTATCAGAAAATTCTTGGTCGTCACTGCTGGTATCAAAGATAGGTCTGAGCACTGTAATAAAATAATAAATAACAAAATAAAAATAACAGGCATCCCATCCTGTTTGGAAGACTTTCTTCACCTTCAGTTGTTGCACCAACATCTGCCATCTGTGATTCGTTTAATTTTTTCCCCCCCTACCTCTAGTAGTCTGAATGCACTGAAAGAAACAGATTTGGGTTTTGGGGCTGTGTAGAGGTTTATGCAATTAATCAGGATGTGACATGAGACATTTCAGGTTATTTATGGGCTGCTAATTGTGGTGCACAGCAGCATATTCAGAAAGAAGCTTTAATCTTCACAAATCCTTGTGGTGAGTAACCACCTGGTCACATTTGAAATAGAAACTTGCTAAATGTGTTCTGCATTTTGACACTGCGTGTTCCATGTATTTCACACCCATGTATCAAACCGTCATTTCCGTGTAGTCCACAGTTCTTGTTTAGAGTTCTTTTTTTTTATTTTATGGCTGATCTCCAAACAATTTGTGTTCTCACCCCCAAACGTTCCAAGTTTCAGAATTTCCTTTAAATAACCCCACTTTCCCTACTCGGTGCAAGCAAATAGCAGCTGCAAGCAAAACCTGTCAGAATTTATTTTAAACCAGCTCTTGTTTTTTTTTAATCAGGATTTTGGTTTTTTTTTAATGTAGGCAAGAGACAATTGGTTTATTCCGATTTGGGGGAGCAAGTTGTCCTGCGGAAGTAATTTCTGAAGCTCCTTTTGAGGCCAGTGTTTTTACCTGCAGGCTCAGAGATCAGATCTTTTCTAAAGAGGTTGCAAGTTATATTTAAACATTACGAAGAAGAGCGGATACTTTCATGTCGGCACGTGTTCGGAAGACACACAAATGACTCTGTGTAAGGCGATATCCCTGAGCTTTTTATGGACACAGGTGCCGTGAAGGCATCAGCATGTCATACATGCAGCCCTTGAGATCTGGACAGACAGAACTTTTGCTTGCCAACCTCCCCCTCCCCCCCTTTCTACCCCTCAGTTTCCTATTCAGCTGCAATGAAGGGTTTTTAGCTTCCTAAAAGGTGGGAGACTTTTGAACCCCCAAACGTTGAAAAAGGGGATCGAAAATTGCCAACCCTCTTAACTGCGGGAAAAATGAAAGAAAGCTGTTAGCAATGAAGGCTGAATTCAGAAGGAGAATCTGCCCCGTCACTTTTTAACATTTAATAACCACGGTTATAATAGCAGTGCAAATCGGGCCAGGTTCCCCTTTGAGACGGGCTTGCAGATTCCTGCAATTGTTGTTGTTGGTGGTGGCAAGAGGAACAAGCCAGCTCTGACCGGAGGCCGTTGTCTCCTTCTCTTCCTTCCTGTCTCCCAGATCTTTGGTTGAAGAGGAAGAGCCTCACATGAAAGTCACTCTGGGGAGCAGCGATATGGGCTTGTCTGCTCACCTGCAGGCGTCAAAGGCAGGAACCACCCGATTCTTCACCAGCAACACTCACAGTTCTGTGGTCCTCCAGGTGAGTGAATGCCCGGAAGGGGGAGCCACCCGCCAGGTGAACTTCTTTGGGGGGGCGTGTCCTTCCGTTCCAGGGGGAAGAGCTTCCTCCAAAGACTCACCTGTCCGATGGTGTCATTGCAGCCCCCCCCAGGTCACCCAGTCGACTGGGAAGGGAGCCGAGAACGGAGGTCTGGGAAGGCTTCCTCTCCTTTGCTAGTTGAACATTGCGGCGGCTGTGATGGAAAGAGACCCAGGCTTGGCATGGTCCAAGCAAGAGCGGGGGAGGGGGAGGCCTTTGGCCTGCGAATTGTGTCCGAACGCCTTCGAGGGAATTTGTCAGGCGAAACAGCCTTTCAGGGTGAATGTTTTGCTCCTCCTATATATATATATATATTTGCTTCCCCTTGGCCTGGAGGGCGAAAAATCTAGCTTCATTATCTAGCGTGCTCCGCAGAGGCCCAGGCCTGTCCTCTGACTTCAGCTCTCGAGAGCAGCCCCATCGCCCCCCCCCCNGGCAACCGTTTATTTGAAATGAAAGGCACCCCTTTCCTTTGGAGTTCTGGGGTTCCTAACAGCAAACGATGGCTGTAGGAAAGTGTTGACTGGTGATGGACTCTCAGATTGTTGTCAACGCTTAGCAACCTCCGAGAGCAGCGGTCTCCAACCTTGGCAACTTGAAGTCTTGTGGACTTCCAACACCCAGAATTCCTTAGCAGGCAAAGATCAGCTGGCTGAGGAACTCGGGGGGTGGGGGTGTTGAAGTCCACAAGTCTTCAAGTTGCCACGGTTGGAGACCCCTGTCTTAGGGAGATTCTCTTTGGGGTGATCTGTCCTTGACCTGGTCCTTCAGGCCCCCCCAAGAGTGCACCCATCACCCCCTAGCCTGAGCCCCTTCCCCTTGCTGCTGGCCGTCCCCTTCCTCTCCTGCAGTCAGTTCTGCGTGTGTGACAGGAGCAAGATGTGGTGCCATGGAGGAAATGCAACGCGCCACCTGTTCCAATCGCTTCCCACAGCAAGAAGAGGCAGCAGCTGTCTGAGCTGAGGCATGTCGTCTTCTCCTTTCTGTTTAGAGCTCTAGCATGGAGAGGTAAGGGGAGGCTGTCTAGACTGCCCTCCTCCAGAAGGCAGGATCCAGCGGTGTTTCCTTCACCCGTACTCTGTGAATTTTCTGGAGTAGAACCGTAATCTGCTTGCCTTGGATCTTTCTTTTTAAGAACTTCCAGGGATTCTTGCTCTTGAAACAAAAAAAAGTCCAAAATATTTTGAGAAATGATTTGAGATAGCTGGGACAAAACATCCTTCGCTTACCACATTTGGCTGATTGTCTGGCAAAACCATTCGAACGGCTCAGAGGACAGAGCCAGACCTCCTACCAAATCATCACCCTTAGTCCAAACCCAAGAAATTGGCTTCAGCGTCCCGATGCCTCTTAAGATCTCGGTCCTCCCCAGTTCAACGTTCAGTCCTGTGCGCTCCTGTCTTCCCGAACAACACAGCTGAGAAACGGCTGTTCCAGAAACGCTCGATCAACGCGCCTCCTTGATTTTCTTCTAGAACTGGGGACTGGCTGCCTTTCACCCTTGGTGATTGTCAACAAGGGCAGCTCATCTTTGCTTCCGTAAATCGCTTTCCTTCAAACCTTCGGTTCAAGCCACTTTGCTGCCCGGATTTATTCAGCAGCGGCTTTCGAAAGTCAACGTTCGTTTCGAGCGGTAAGATCCACGATGGATCAGGCGGAAGGATTTGGCAGCTGTTTGAGTCTCTGCTCGTGAAAAGAAAAGATACCTTTGACATCAAGCTTGGTTCCTGGTGGGCTACCTGGACTTATCCCAAGCCAGTTGCAGGTTGCCTCCTTCCGCTCAGGAGCTTCCGAGGCCAGGAGAAACTCAACCGTGAGGTTGAGGCGTCCAAGGATTCGGAGCTGACAAAGGAGAAGCGCCTCCGTCTGCTTGGTTGGGCAATGCTTTGCCATTGAGGGCCCAGATTGTTGGGGGCTGCCGGGCACTAAGTCTAAAGGCTATTGCTGTTATCTGGGCTTCTCCAGCCTTTTCTAGCGGCCGAGAGTTGGCTGGGAGCTTTAACTGGCCTATGTTGGCTCCGACCTTGAGGGAGGCTTGAGTGCTGCTCCTGCCACACTCCCTTCCTTCTCCCTGCAAGCCGATCCTGCCTAGAACTAGCCTGTTCCCTTTGCCCCTAAGGAGGCAGTCCGAGGTCTGCCATGAGTGGCAGGCAGTGCATTCAGCTTGAACGGCGGCTGACCCCCATTGTCCTTCAGCCTCGGTGGTGCCCTGGGAGCAGAGGCACCCATTGACTGCTAATGACGCCCGTTGGCTTTGATGGTTCTGGGGCTAGAGCAGGAGATAGGGGCGTGTTGCCGAGCCCAGGCTCCTCCCCCCCCCCCCACAAGCCATTGGCCCTGTAATATATGGCTAGGACTGGGTCAACACACCTGCAGCATCAAGCCGTTGTCCTCCCCCCCTCGGTAGCCAGGAGAGAGCTTCTTGGGCCTCTGCGCTCCCCGAGTTAGG